CGTTCCTTTTAGTTTTTTCCAAAGACAACATGCCACCACGGTTGCAGCAATGACAGCTCCACATAACAGCATCGCTGCCGGAATAATGTATCTCGAGTGGTTAGGATCAACCGGCTGAGGGTGTTGTTTTCCAAGAACATCTGTCGAGAAATAACGGAAAAAATTTAGATCACAATAATTATGAAATCAATTTCATTTTAGACCTGTAGATAAAATTCAAGTGAAGAATAATCCTAGCAGGTGAGCGACAATTTAAGCAGCTGCAAAGGAGCCTAATTTAATTGCAGCTTACCCGCGAGGATCATTTATTCCCTTGAAAAAAATGTAGAAATGATTAAATTGCAATTCGTGGGTATTTTTTGATTCGCATGTAAATGCTTCAAAAGAAAAAAAGAAACTCCTGGTGAACTATGCGCAACAGTGCACTACCACCTGCTCACCCACGCACCCTCTTAGTTTTCTTCCAGTTTAGGTTGTTGGTACTCATTTGCGTTACGAAGTGGCCACCAACCTTGATAGTTGTGGCGGAGCGTCTTCCACTGGACGATCATGTATAGGGTACCTATAGACGATTTACAGCTTACCTGGGTGGTTCTCAGTCGAAATCACTGGTGCCAATCCAACTGTCGATACTGTTGATGTAAATAGATTTCCTAAGTTCAGCAAAAATGTAAAAAGAATCGACAATTTAAACAAAATTAAGTTATTTGACATGCGGTTTTTCTGGCCGGCTTAGATTATTCACTTGTTGGGAATCATGGTCGACTACGATCAATTTATACGAAAGTACTGATTTGTTAGCACATAGAGTTTTGTCTTTCAATGAAATGACTAGTTGAAATTATTCCGTCCATACTGCAAAGAGAGTTTGAAATGTAAAACAATGAACGCAGACCTACTCTCAGGTGAAAAGGACAAGCTTCATAGCTGTAGTTAAGGTCACCTCCCGTCGTCTTCATTTTTTCATGATCATACATTTGTACAACTTGTAATTTGTGCTTTCTCTTATTTTAAAAGCTAGTACTTTTCTTGAAGGACTTGAGGGTTTTAAATACTTTCAGAGCAACCGCTGAGATCCTTGTCAACGTGATTTCTCCAAAGCAAGAGTTTATTACTGAAAGGTGAAGTTTTAAAAGTTATGTGCACATTGTTGCATTCGCCGTTATATTTTAGAGTACAAGCTTCGAAGTATAATTTTCAAAATGCGAGACTTCAAACTGCTCAAGGACGCAAACTTCAGAGGTAGCATTCCATTTGTAGTCCTATTTCCAAACAAACCTCAAAGCTTAATTTGCATAGGTACGGGGATTTCTTGGAAGTTACATTATAGAAAGGGAGTCATTTGGAGAGTATGCGTGAAAGTGTGCGACGTCGAGTTTTTAACAGATACTAACCCGTAACAGCATCCTTGGGTTGCACATTTTTGCTGAGGAATGCACTACGGAAATCGTTGCCGATATGATTGCTCACAAAGCAAGTGTAGAGTCCAAAATCGTCCTCAGTCACATTTACAATAGTCACCTCAACACCATAATTATTTTTCACTTGAACGGTCTTGTAATAGTATGGGTCTACAAGGCGATATGATCCATTTAAAATTTCATTGTAAGTTTTCGGAATAGAATTGACGGATTTGTTCCATTTAAGCAATCTGAAATCTGGGAGAGTTCCACTAACCCAAACAATACAGGTTAATGTTGCATTATCTCCAACTTGCACAGTTTTGTTCTTTGGCAGACCTGTCTGTAGGATCGGAGCTGACCGAGGTCTAGCTGTTGAGAAAAGGGAAGATAATTTGAAGAGAAGATACTTGAAGCTATAAAAAGATCACCACATGATTTGCAAATCAGATGCCAATAGACAAATTTTCAAACGCTGAAAAATTTTCGAGACCTGGAAATTTACGTGTCCATATATGTCGGCTAAATTGCACGCGAAAAATTGTTGATATTAAAGTGGACGCCATCTTGTCTCTTTAGTGTTTCGCTAAATAATACTGTTTTCATATAATTGTTTACTTGCACGTCTCACGCATCAATGGCGCGCGTAGATATGGAAGTTGTCTTCGATTGTTCAACTCGACTTTTTTCCTTCTTCACTTACCTAACTCTAAACACCCGAGGGGTAAGAAGAATTCCCAAAGGTTAGGAAATCTAACTCTTTGAGTGATTAGAGGTGGCTACGTAAACATGGAAAAAAGTGTTGCTTAATTATGATTAGTATAATTGCTCCTGTGATTATAGAGATGCGTACGCTCTGATTGGTTGAAGATGGCGTCGAACTTCGTTATAATTACCTCGCGCAAGTTGATTCTAGCAAGGACGCTAGAAGTTTAAAAATGTCTGCCACGCGTTTTCTTCGATTGTGTCAATGTTTCCTAGGAAGTGATCAATGTGATCGAAGAAAATTCATATGCAAAGAGCTCAAAAGATGCTACAACTTTACTTAGTTTGGCGGAAAACTCTTCAAAAGTAAGATGTGAAGTTTTTGCGGATTGAATTAAATAAAGCTGTTGAAACTACTTCAACACAATCATAAAAAATATGCGCACTGTTGAAGTTTGCTTCTTGATGAATCCTCTACGGTATGTTTAACTGGACTTACCAACAACTTGAAGCGTAAAGGTGTGATTTATTGATCCATATAGATTGGACACTATACAAGTGTATCTCCCAGAATCAGCGGG